GCATTGTTACTCTACCTTGGTAACAGAGTTTGACAGTAACAGAATTGGCAATTTTCTTTATTTTTTGCAAAAACTCCACTTGCTAGCATAAATGCTAAGAGCACATGGCACTAATGAAATCATGATTAAAAGACTTTTAAATAACACAAAGTGTGATCAATGAAAAAAATCAGTTTTCCTTTTGATATTGTGGTAACAGATTTGACACTTTATAAAATAACTCTTGCTGTAAGAACTTTTTAGGTTGAAATATTTTCTTAGAGAGTGCACATAGACTTTTCAGTGCTTCAGATCTTAACAGTGAGGGACAGTGACATCATTTCCTGTATCTTACATAGTTGTGGGAGATAATTCCACTCATTTAAAGGCAAAGTATGGTACGGTAACAGAGTTGACGCAAGATTTAGGACACACATTTGTATAAGAAAAAGTTTATTTTTTATTTTTTATAATGTTGTAGAATTAGGAAAATGACTCTTTAGGGCTTTTATAAATAAAATGAATTAAATATTACAAAAAGAAAAGTACAATAAAATGTTTTGATTACACAGCGATACATGATGGAAAAATGCACTGACTAATTCAGACAACAAGAAATCACGATTTTCAGCTATTTAAGACACTTTTTGCAAAAAAATATGATATTGTTATGGACTGTAACATCTTGTAATTCATAACAATGAGTAACACAGTATTAAAATAATTAAAAATATAACCATTTGAAAAAAGCAGAAAAAAAGAATGACTTCGGACACCAAATGTACCTGCAATTATAGAATCACCCAGTGGCGTAACTGCTTTGAAAAGTGGTGGGGACACCGCGCAACTCGGTTTGCTAGTTTTTTAATTTAATAACCTAATTTACTTGGGGACTGGGTTTAGAGTTGAACAAACTTAATTTTTGCTTTTCAAAAATACATCGATGTACCAGGGGCAGTGCCAGAGAAATTTGAACGCAGGTAGATCATTGACAGGGGGAGCTGGGCAATTCAGGGCTCCAGACTCATTCTTCCCACTGCTTGCTCTTTTGCGACTAACTTTCTCAGTTGGCTGCACAAGCACGTTTTTTTTTTTTTGCGCTACAACATGCTGTTAATCAATGCACGCTGAT